CTTTAACACTTTTAATACTTAACTACAACAAATATCACATACTTTAATACTTTTACTCAAGTATCTTAAAGGATACTAACGTTTGTCAAAGTCAGTTTTTCGTTCTTGTACTTTTATTCAAGTATCAGTCTGTTGTACTTTATACAACACTGAAGTTTCATCAGTTGCAGAGGAACAACTTGTTTTGTGAGAGTTAAGAAAATTCCTCATGATATATTTTGCTAACAGACAGATTTGACTTCATTAGTTACAAACATAAATAAAACCTTTTAAAAAGAAATGTGGGGATGGATGCAGGTTTTCAGGTTCTGACGCTGACTGAGTCCACAGTCTGAGGTTTGGGTGGACATTTCTGGGAGCGTCTCCAAAGCTCACAGTTGTCAGGAGGGGCTGGACCTGGGGCTGAGCAGTTTTCCTGTGCAGTCTCTGCAGCTCCAGACTGACCTCTTCCTTCCTTCCTGCCACATTTCTCTCTGTGCGGAAATAATAATAATAAAAACAGCCCGAGGATTAGCAGAAAGATCATTTAATTATCTGTAAAAAGCGGTTTTGACGACATGACGCAAGCGGAAGCTTTTTCTCCTCCTTCGTCCTGAAGGGAAGAGTTGTTGAAACTGCTGAAAGTTTGGACGGGTCTGTGTGGAGCAGCAGGCAGACACAGAGGTGGGTTTCTCCTGCAGCAGGGGGCATGCTGCTCTGAGACTCTGCTCTTCTCATCTGGAACTAATAGACAACAAAAACCCTGAAGACGCAGAGGATCCAGACCCCAGCTCCGGACCTTCTTCTGGTCTAAGGTGTTCACCATGAAGGTGTTTGTTTGTCTCAGTTTAGCTCTGATTTATTTCGTCACCTGGACCGGAGCCAACGGACAGAACCCTGTGAAACGGGCCCAGTTGGACCGCGCGGTCCCGCTGCGCGCAGCAGACCAGCCGCGCCTGCGTCCAGGATCAGGCTCAGCAGATGGAACAGAACCTGGGACTAATGTTCAGGCCGATCTGGGCTCTTCGGTTCCGGACCGGACGGTGACGTCACRCAGTAGGAGAGTCGGGGGTCGCGGTTTGTTGCCTCGGAGAAGAGGGGGCGCCGGAGAGCTCGGCCTGCCCGACATGCCTCAGGGGGATGAGGGCAGTCCAGGAGCCAGAGCCAGGGTCACAGCCAGCAGCGCCGGGTCACCGAACCTTCTGGCCAGCTTCGCAGGGAAGAACCGGGTCCTGGTGATCTCCGCGCCCCACGAGGCGGACGGTTATTACCGACTGATGATGTCCCTCCTGAAGCCGGACGTGTACTGTGAGCTGGCCGAGAGACACGTCCATCAGATCGTCATGTTCCACCAGGAGGGGGACCTGGGGGGCAAGGTGAGGAGGATCAGCACCGAGGGCAAGATCCTGGAGGAGCCGCTGGACGTGGCGCTCATCCCCAGACTCATGAGCTTCCTCAAACTGGAGAAAGGTGAGACATCATGACGTCACCCAACACCTGTCAGAGCTGTATGCAGTACCACGAAGTGATACTTGAGTAAAAGTACAAGTATMTTTCCAAAAAATGACTTTAGTAAAAAAGTCTCCTTTAGGAATATTACTTGAGTAAAAGTCTTAAATTATCTGATATTTGTTGTAGTTAAGTATTAAAAGTCAAAGTA